ATCCTCGTCCTCGAGCTCGAACGTGATCTCTCACCTGGCAGTAGGGACAGAGGCTAGATTCGCAGAGGACAGAAGGAAGCATGCAGAGATTCGCAGCGGGAGTGGACTGAAAGGGAGAAAAGGGGAGGGAGAATCGATGTTGTTCTATCGACGGAGGATTTCCGGTTATCCGAGCATCCGGGAAAACATTGCGTCCTCTTCTTTCCGGCTTTTCTTCCTCGCGGACTGGGTTCAGCGCAGAACATCCTTCATCGCTTTCGCTTCAGCCTCTTCGCCGCCGCCGCCGCCGCCGCCGTTGCGTCAACTTCAACCACAACGTTGAAGCCGTTGCAGTTCTACTGACCTCTAAATTTTTACCCGCTAATGAATTAACTAGCTAGTATACTAAGTTGTTACGGTGGAGAGCGTTGTAACGGTGATTCAAACTCGTCACTCCTGATCGTCGAGCGTCCGTCGAGCTCACGTTCTCGTACGACATCTGCAATTTAGAGCGAACGTTGCTGTGTAATCTGCGGGATGTGCATTGGTACAATGAATTTCTTTAGAAATAAATAAAATGTTATATTGTTTAAGGAATTGCATTAAGGAAAAATTGACGCCTATTTTAAAATCATTAATAACTATATCGTAATTGAGAAAGAAAATGTTCGACATATATTTTTTGCAACAAAAGAAACTTACTCTGTAAGTTATGACGTAGGGCGCGACTCGTCCAGATTTTCTAGGCTAGGACGTGGGTTAGTATGGCCGGCTGGCGTCCTTGGGCCTCTTCAACTGGACTTTTAATCGTTTCATCCCTATTTGGAAGCCGTTCATCGCTTGAATCGCTGTTTGCGCGCTCGCTGGATTATCGAACGACACAAAACCTGAAAATACCGAACGTTGAATTCTGCAGCGTGCAATAGGTTTATCGCTCTTGACAAAAATCTTCGTTTTCAATATTATGCAAAGATATTATCTTCACTTATTGGTACATGTAAACGCAATAAGAAGTTGAACAATTGCTCATGTAATAAAAATAAAATCATCACAAATTTTCAAGTAAATTGATGACAGAAGAATATCCCTTAACGAATTCGGTACAACAAATTGAATATAATGAAAGGTCTTTATAGTCGCAGTTTTTATCATAATAATGTCGAATAACAACTTATTTCGAGAACTCAAAAATATCCTTTTAAGTACAGCTAATATATCTCGACAACAGTATTAATTATTTTTAGCAACTAAACAGCAATCCAGATGAATTAGAGCTCCTGTGAGGAATGAAAGTTCTCGTTCGTGGACTTGATATTACCCAAGTTTCACCGGAAGGGCAGGTTACACGATAACGAAGCCCCTCAGCGGGAGCGTTCCCGAAAGATCGTCACGACTTTCTCGGTTTAAGCCAATTTTGACCATTAGCGTCGATTCCATTTTAGTTTCGCCATCACGGCGGCCTAAACCGCCTGGCCGTCTTTCGCGTCTTCCGCCCATCCACGGTTCACTCCGTTCCGCAAATTACTTTTCCTTCGGGGCCGAAGGGCGCCCTGATTATTTTAACTTCTTGTCCTGCGAAAAGAGTTTGTCGCGGGGATGGACTGAGCTATATCGAGTTTTCCGTATCAAATGTACACGCGCGATACGTTTCGCAACTGGCGTAAAAAAAAAATTCTTCCCATCGCGCTGATTATAATTATTCCACAGACTCTTCGGCAGAAATTGTCGCGTCAAAGAGTCCTTTTGCGGAAACTGATCGCAGATGGGGGAAAACGCTTCAAAGCGATACAAACTTGCGCATATTTTTCCGCTGCGGGCATAATTATACGCGCGACAGGACGGGAAAATGAACATAATCAAACGCGAACATAATGATGCGTCGTTATGTATCCGCCTTTTCTTTTTTCTTTTTTTTTTTTGCAAATGACGAGGCTCATCGAGTCTCTCGGAAAGAGGAGGAGACAAGTACGCGCAAAAAAAAATATATATATATATGTGTGAATCGCGCGATGGCGAAAAATGCGAGCGTAGACCAAGGACCGTACGAGCGGACGCGAATGGGATCGTCCAATTATCCGTATCCTCATACTCTCGGATACGATTAATCAAAGGAACGCCGGCGGCTTTTATCCGCATTCTCTGTTTCGGTCCCCCTCCGCGTATATGTCTCTAAAAAAAAAGAACTGCGCGGTTTGATTTTGGTTCCATTGAAATAGCATTCATATTCAGTCCGCCCGGTCCGTCCGCTAATACGGATGGGACGAATTAAATTTCCATGATTAATCCACCGGTGATTGGAAACGTGTAGAGTCATTTAGAGTGCTGCCGTAGTATGTGACTGATTGAAAGTCATAATAATAATCACAGGATGCATCGTGTACAGCTGCGTCCTGATTATATTTTTACACAGTCGCGTTTTAAAGTAAAAATACTTTGAACTATTTTTACGAGAGAAGCGCGCACATATATCTTTTTAATATTATCCCTTGCTATAAAAAAATTTTTCATCATAATTAAAATCGCACGATAAAAGACCGGACTTATTAAAAATTTCGCGTATTTTTTCAACGGTCTCATATCCGCTCGCATATCATTGTCTTGGCGCCACAAGGCTTGGCGTCCTTCGTCCTACCTTGCGTGGATGCTGTTAAGGATCGATCGCACATCGGGTGGGATGTATTTTTTGCTGTCGCTACGGTGACTCTGAAATTTGATTCGCGATACCGCCGCACTTACCGAAGCATTTACTCTGATTGGTCGCCCGGTCGATGAAGACTTTGGAGGAGATGACATTGCCAAACGGGAGGAACATCTGCATGAGCTCGCCGTCGCCGAACTCCTGGGGCAGGTGGTAGATGAACAGGTTGCAGCCCTCGGGTCCTGAGATAGAGCATCCTACCATATAAATCAGAGCACATCTAAACATCTAAACTTGAAGTATAATACTCAAGTTAGAATGTTAGTTCTGGATGAGTTCTGTTCTTCGCAAATATAAATGATTCCGCGCGATACGAGAGCTCCGACCCGTCGGCGTGGTCGCCGGCGGGTGCTGTTATTTACTTTTTTTTCCTTTCTTTTTGTCTCTGATTACTTTTTATTTTTTTCGTCTGGAGTCGTTTTTTGATGAATGAAGATGAATCTGCGGTCGACTCTCGACGACAATACCGATTTTTCTCTCTCTCTCTCGTCCGCCCGAGTGCGAGATGATGATGGCGCGGTAATATGATTTTGTCTCCCGCAAATGACGCGAAATGACATGAACATGAGTCGAGCGTGAAGTTAAACAGACTGCGAGAGTGAATGACAGAAAATGATGTGAATATGACTGAGAGCGAACGATTAGAAAAGTGGTCACGAGGATTTATGCATTCGTGACTCTTGGTAGAGATCTCCCGCGTTCACGTAACGTTGAGTATTTATACTTTCAAATATACACACACAACACTGGGATTTACAACACAATGGCGGATGAGGTGATGGATACTGAGATGAGTGAATGGGTGAATGGACGTGGTGACGATGATTAGTGAGATGACACTGATTACGATGGTGCGATACTCCCGTATTTTCGCCAGACACGATAATCCGTCGCTTTTTACGCTTGTCGCGCGAATATTCCGATGTGATCCGAGTATATGCCATCATCCTGATAACTTGTCTCATATTTGCATTTACGATATCCGATTATGAACGACGATAAAATAAAGCGATATAAATGTTACAGCTAAATGCGTGAATACAATTATCCCAAGAACTCATGTGTCAAGTTCTAAAATTTCAGCTCCAAAATTATGTTACGTTTTATACTCGCTCGTGTAATTCGATTTTCGCATAATCAAATATCTTATCACGCTTAAATAGGTCTCCTTTTCCGGTGTTACAATGCCGAAGACATCGAGGTTTAATTCGACCGGCGAAGAAAATCCCGAGGGTAGAACCGAGGAGGGAAGAACTGCCCGAACAACGGCAGTCCAAATAAGGATTTAGCTAATTTCACTGAACTTTATAACTCCGACGTCAATTAGCGGCGATTATGACCGTGGAAACTTCTGCTCTCTTGCCCAGAGCTTCTGCCGACTAACGGACGCATTTAAGTAATGAGATGGCTGCCACTCAGCTTTTAGGACGCTACTCATCGCGACCTGTTCGCCACTCCTCGAAAGATCTCTCGCGGAAGGAAGGATTCCCGCGGGAAACCTCGTTGGAATATGCTAGTCAGATCATCGCGAAATATAACCGTCCATTTTCCGCTCGGTTGTGACTTTCGATACGTCAGCGCCCGACGATAGCATCGCATGACTTTCGTTGAACACGCTCGTCGATCGATAAGATTATCATCGCGAATCCCGGCGAGTTTAAGAATTAACGTGACGTAGACGAAATTTTACGACAGTTTTATAAGGATATTTTGATCCGATCTCGAGGTGATTTTCGTCAATCATCCAAGAGTAAAACTCTAATCGCACTTGTTGAAAATAACCCAGTTAATCGAAAGTTAGTCTCGAGTTGTAAAACTCGATCCCGAGATCCGAGGAAGGATAAAAGTTTCCTATCTTCGCATAATACTAAATGTTTTTCTGATAAGTATCGCGTAATTCGCATTCGTGAAATTTGCAAAACAATTTATTCGCGATTTGCAAGTTCTTCGTAGCGGCCAGTTTGATGTAAAAGAGCGATATTCCGCAAGTAAATCACCGATTTGATACAAACTTTCTCGCCAATTATGAATTAATGTTGTCGTGTACCTGTTAGCGCGACGCGAGAAATCGCAAACCTGTCCTGCGATTTACGCAAAGAGTAGCAAACTCTCTCCCTCTCTCGCGCGCGCGGAACGACTTCGTCCCGGTAATAACTCGATCGTGGCTGTCACGCGAAACCCAAATTAGCACGAGTGTCGACGGGTTTCCGGTTCCGACTAGAAAGAGCACGGAGGGGAATTGCGATGGACGACGAAATCACGAAGAACGAGCCATAAATTAAAGCCCGTCGTCGTGCTGCGCGCGTGATCGTTGATCCTGAAATTGGTTTTCGCCTCTCTAATTGGCACACACGCGGTACGTGCACGCGAATTTAATGAGAACGACTACCTTGCGTCTACTTTCATTGAAAAGTAATAACACTGTGCGAAGCATCAAGACGCCTAAATAGATCCACGATCACCTATTTTGCACAATCAAAAGAATCGATCAAATGCATTCGACAATGAATTATTTTCGTGTAAAATATTACATTGTTCTGCACATTTTTTTCTGGAAATATACACATACGTGGATTTTTATTTATTTTTTATGCAGAAGAATAATTTCTTTAAAGCAATCTAAAGGCAGAATTATTATTGAAATGAAATTCTTCGATGAAATTGAATTATTTCGCCTGGCAAATAAATGGGAATAATATCTTCATTTTAGTATAAAAAAAAAGGGGGAAAGTCGGTATTCACGATCGCAAAACGGATTTCTTGTACCGACGATCTCGCCAAGTCTCGCAATGCACGTATCACCGTCTCGTAGCGAAGCAACAACCAACATCGGTCGACAGCGCAACACCGAGAACAGCCACTGACATCGAGTGCAACGGCGAAACACCGAATTAACGACGAACATCCGAGTACTGACGTAAAGAAAAGAAAAGAAAAGAAAAGAACAAAAGAAAATGAAAGAAAACGAAAGGAAAAGGAAGGAAGAAGAGCTATCCGCACAAAACATCGTTAAAAATATCGTGACACAGTCATGGTTTAGAGAGAAGAAATGTATATACGAACACCGAGAACATCGTGTAAGACGTAGAACACCCAGAACAACGATCAAGGAGCTTAAAATAACACGGAGCAAGGGTAAACTCGCGAAGCGACAGTCAATAATAGATCGATACCACTGTCATGCAATGATGACAATAACGTCGATTCCCTTTCGGCTCCCCTGGGTTCCGTCCGATATTGCGGCACGCCTAACGACTTTGACATCTAACATAAGTTTCACCAAAAGATAGAGTGTCTGCGCACACACGTTTCCTTTATTTTTGCAGAACTTGTATCTAACACAGAAGTTCTTCAGGAAGTCGGCGAATATGATAAGCATCGTTCTCTTTTTCTTTTTCTTTTTTTTTTCCCAAAACTTCGGGCAACTATTTGTGTTTCTGACAGTGTATTCTACACGCTCACACGCGGAGAGCGAAACGTGTGTAAGATATTTGTCATTTGTCATTTCGCGTTACTCAATTCACGTTGAAAAAAAAAAAGAAAAAAAAAAGAAGAAAGAAATAGATGTAACGATTAACTATTGGCCGTATAATAAAATGGAAATCCTTCCGCAATAATTTAAAGTACTGATGTACCAGATTGACTGACAAGAGATTGATTGCAGACAGTTATAAACGTTACAGGAAGTTTCGCCTCGCAAAATTTATACCCGTCCGGGAAATGAATTTATTAATGGTTTCCTTCATCCGTGGATCGCGTGGGAGACGCGATTAATAAATACGCGAGGCTCTTTACCGGGGAAATAAAATCGATCGGAGATCTCTCTTGCTCCGCGCAGCGGAGTATCGCGTGTACCGCTTTACGATTTAATCGCGGCGCATGGGAAAATGTCAGAACGCATCGGCGAGACGAAAAGATCAGGTGAGATGAAAACGCGAACTGGTGAGGGTGAGACGGGAGGGGCAGGGGCGGAGGGGCGGGAGGGAGTTGATGTAGCGGTCGGAGGGGAAAGAGCAGAGGGTTGAGACCGGATAAAACGGAGGCGGGGTAGCGCTGTCGCGGTAAACTTTCCATTATCCTGCGATGTAACAACGGATCGCCGGCGGGCGTAGCGGCAAAGTAATTAAAACTTTCGTTTTATTTGCATTATCTCATTGCAAGGCGTCGTATATTCTAATAATGGCGAGTTGTTAATTGCAATTAGGCGCTGGCTCGCTCAACCTCTCTTCTAACCCCGGTCTCGCCAGGTCGACTTTTTCCTCGCCTTTAGCTCTTCTTTTATACCTTCTCCGCAAAAGATGGCGTAATAGATGACTGACCCTCCCATATTTTACTAGGCGAGACCCTGTCTCTTTGACTGATCGCGTTCTTTTTTTTTTTTTTCTTCCTTTCTTTTTCACCGATGGTTTTTAATTAAGCGCGTTTTTGTGCTGCTTCGCGCGATTATAGAAACTAAAATTACGAGAACTATCGAATTGGAGCGTGCGTCTTCGGAGCAGCAATTTCTCTTCGTTGAAAAAGAAGCCTGTCAATATCGGCGATGCTCGAAATGACCAAGTTACGAGGCAGCGCGGGATTTCGGCATTTTTAAGTAATCACATCGCGTTACCGCGTCGTAGTTGAACGAGGAATGACGAGCGCGGCAAGCGACATAGAAAGCGGATTGACTTTCGCGGTTTACCTCCCGCGCGTCGCTCTCGCTCGCATAATCGAGCGCGACGTCGCTTTATTTGCGAGATGTGGAGAATGAACGGTACGGCGGGCTGCTGCGACGGCGGCGGGCGAAGTCGAAACTCCGTCTTGCACCTCGTTGGGCACCGACGAGGGATAATTCGTGTCTGGACGTGTGTACGGGACGTGGGTCTACAATCTCGGGTCTACAGTCGTTCGTGTTTACAGTCAACAGTTAAACGTTGATGAGCGTGTTGTACTTACCTTCCCTCTGCGTGGGCGCCACCGCGGTCATCGGCTGAGGAATAGCCTGAGGAAACTGGCCGTAGACGGCGGGGTAAGCTGCGACAATAACAAATAACAAGTACATCATGATCTGTCCACATCTAGATCTGTACGTGCCACTGCCTATCTCTGTCCCCCTCTTTAATTTCTCCCTCTTTTTTTCCCCCCTCCCCCCTTTTCGGCTACTGCGATCCGCTGTCGGCCGTCGTTGACAATAAGAGCCAGTGACAGCTCGAAACCGGCAACAAGCCCCGAACGAAATGTAGGCGTCGTAATTCAATGCAGCGATAGCGCATACATAATGGACGATGACAGTAATAAAAGCCGAACAGTCCAATAAACGTCAACAGATTCAACAGAAATTGCGTTGCCATCGCTAGACAGATTACAACGGCGTAATTTATGATCGTGCGTTTCAGGAGCGCGCCGGGACGCGTGACTGGGACGCGAGCGCTCATCCTTGCGATTTACCGAAGACTCGTCGCGAAGTGGGGATAAAGGTCGAAGTATCACAAGGCCGAGACGATATTAAATGTAAAGAATGCGGGAATATTTTTGCATTATTCCGCGGACTATGAGATGCGATTCGAATTATGCAGGCTATCCCAACGATCGCTTTGGAATGGGACGCCTTTTGTGGAACTGAGCTTTTTCTCAGCGCAATTTGAATAACTTTTATTAATTCAAATAAAAAGCTTTATTTATTTAACAATCTTAATTCGCACGGTTTTAATTATCAAGCAAAGTATTTAATTAAATGCAAAAAAGAGATAACAAATATGCGTATGATGATCTCCATTATAACATTTTCCTCGAGAAGCTCTTATTTCTAGGATATCCTGCATAATCTCCTCATTAACGCGAGAATATGGAAATCGCGCTTCCATCTGAGCGGCCTGTTTGCCCTGCTGGCTTAAAAGCGAGCGCGAGAAACGACTCGCGCTGATACAAACGGTCGTCTCGTACAGGCGATTCCGACATTCATCACGGCGCCCTTTCCCCCGACAAGGGTATTCGTCTCTCAACGTTCTCACCGTTCCACGCGACTTTCAACACGATACTTTTGCGCCGGGGAGCCGTCGCGGTCTGCGAAAACGCAGCGTTGCATCCGGCGCGGCATTAGCCGACACTCGATCTCTCTTCAAAGCCGATTCGGCTTGCGAAGCGCGCGCGCGCCTCATTAAAACGGGATACGGGAACGTCTTCTTAGCGCGCGATAGTGTAACGAAAAAGAGAGAGAGAGAGGTAGAGAAGGAGAGAGACAGAGAGAAAGTACGCCTGTACACAGCTGTACAGTGCGTATCCCGTTGCAATTTGCGAAACTAAATATTTGAGCAATTGAGAAAAGCATCCCGATACAAAACGCTAAAATGTGGAGCGTTTCACAGAGGGAGGACATACGACCCGCGTGCGGAATGAGGCTCTGGAATCGGAGACATTATCGTAATAGCGTTTGCTTAATATCGTATTACGAGACGGCGAAAGATGTCATTATTATAACGAGCTTTTTATTACGACGAAATTTGATTACATTCCGCATTAATGTTGACGTCGATACATTAAAAATCGCTCGACGTAATGAGGTTCCAGCGAAATTTAATTCGAACATTTGATAGGATTCGCCGTAATTCACGATTTTTCCGTATCGGTTACAAAAATATAGAAGATGGTCGTCGAATGAATAAATATTAATATCACTTTTGATTGACGAGGATCCAAAAAATATTTTCACGTTAAACAAAATTGTCCGATATAACATATTTTAATTCGCGATGCGATCTCTTCCCTCTCTCTCTTTCTCCCTGCACGATTGATGACAATTGGTTAGTCTGTAAATTCGGATCCGGCTATAAACGTGCGCGAATCAGCATTATACCGTTCGCTACACGCGACGAGGCAGAAAGCAAGTACGTCGTTATTAATTATAGCTTGATAAATATTTAAAACGCTCGTGATTGATAGCTGTTTGTGACGGATAGGCGGAGCGTGTGCGCGAGCTGCGCTCTCAGATCGGCAGAGGCGAATTTTCGCTCTGGAATTAATTATTTCCGTGCAAACATCGCTTTAATATATTCCGATTGACGTTACCCGGAGGCCCCCCCCCCTCCTCCTCCTTTCCCCCGTCGGTGCGCGATGGATCAACGTTTGGCGTATGAAATAAATACGCCATCATACGTCGGCCGCGTCACGCTCAGATAGAGGTACACCGTTATTCGGGATTGCTTTTTTTCCACTCGCTGATCTCGATGGCGTGTGTGTACACTGGCCGAAAATACATAGAAAAAAATATACCGCTTTTGAGTCCTCGGTAAATACGAGCGAGCGCGCTCGCGTGCGCGCACCGTGTACGCGGATACGTTTGTTATGGCTCGAATTTGTTGAATTTCCGTCGATACGGCGCTGAGAGAGACGCGTTGAGAGACTGCCGGCGTAGGAATTAATTACTAAACGCGGGCGGGAATAAGTAATATCCCGCATCTGTTTTCTTTCGTTACACTCGGCTGTGTATTTTCAGATCCGACGTAGCGACTGGTGTCCCGAATCGACTCTGTCCGCGCCTCGCCCGGTATATTAACGCGCTCGCGGAATTCGTTGAACGCGCTCTCATTACGGGATGAGAGAGTGATTGGAATGTAATAGAAGTATAGGTCCATCGAGACGTTGATTATCCGTGAAACGAGATCATCCATTTTGCTGGGCTTTATTGGATCATAATTTGCGCGGATGCGCTGCATTTTGACGCTGCAGCGCCGCGCACCGCAACGCCGACGGTCGATGGCGGATGCACGTATAATATTCGCCGCTGGTGTTGGTGAGGAGGGTGCATGCACGAGAGGACGTGTAACGTGTAAAACTACAATATAATATGTACACGGAGTACATTTAGAAGGACACCGAAGTACATCGTAGCACCACAGCAGAAGCATTATAGAACGAAACGTTGACGCGTACACGATCATGTATGACGTGTATGTATGGTGTGTATACGCATGCGGCCCATAGTTGCATGCAAACAACCAGCAACGCGATCAGCGAAATCGAATTTTTCGCAGGTAAGTGCACCGACAGCGCCCGGGTAAAAGCACATAAACGCTCGTCGGACGTTCCGACGCATTTTTCCTTTACGTACGAGACGATCTATCCGGCCTCCTCGTCGAAAGCGCGCGCGCGCGTTTTTCCCGACCCGCTCAAAAGATCGCGATAGGCAACATCCGGGCGAGATGAGCACGCCAAGGTATTATCTGACGTGCGTTGAAATACCGGTGCACGGTAGCTCCGTTCTGTTGTTCCAAACATTGCGATTATGTGACGTTTATGAAAAAATTTTCACCGCTCTAAAATACACGCTTTTAAATTTTATATTTATGTAAAAAAAAACTTTTAAAGAAAATTCTTGCAGAAAGAACTCCGTTGTATACTTCGAATCCGTTCGTGCTGTAAAATAGCGATCGATACGAAATCATGATAAATACGATAAGGGATTCGTCGTCCGCGTTAAAATTACTTGCCCGATCCGAGGCGAAGTCTCGCGAATAGAACAATGCATAAATATCTCCGTCTGACGTCGTGTCTATTTTTACGTCGATAATACCCGTCGCTATACCGCTTGGATGGAGCTGGAATGGGCGAGACGCGCTACACGCATTACACGAAAGAACACGGACAGGGTAGACAGGCACCTTGACAAGCCGATAGATATAAAAATTGATGCTGGAGAAACACTTACCGGCCACTCCAGCATAAGCCTGCATTCCAGGATACGCGGCGGCATGCTGAAGTGCCGCCTCCCCGTTGGGCAGCCCCTGCGCTGGAATGGACAGATGGAGGGCATCTACACTTCAGTAAGCTCAGCTCTTATCGGGGAGAGGGCCTAGCCTAGAGGCCCCTGTCGCAATACCTAGTAGGCCAATCGATATCGCTCGATATTTCCGCCGAGACTATACTCGGTAATAAACGATCCGAACGGCGATAAAGGCCAAAGATTAAAGGAAAATTGAGACTATAGAAATAATCATACGTCGCTCCTCGTGAAATTTATTATCTCCGCGATATTGCGATCTATACGCAGTTTAATGATTTGTTGGAGTCACACGATTTAACATCTGATTAACATCTAGGCGATTTATATTTGCATCGCTCAATTTCTGTCGCCGAGATGCATTTGTCAAAATGCAAAAGGTCGAGGTTCGCGTCGTGGAAGACTCTCTCGGATTATATGAGAAATAATATAAGTAAATCGGAAGAATCTGAAAATTAATATTTGCTCGTTTACTCTGTTAATGAAATAATCGTCGAATGAACAAATGACTTATAAATTCAATTGTTCATTACCGGAGTTGCCGCGGAGCATAAACATAGGAGTACGCAAAGCTCCACGTCGGGATACTAAGTCTTCCACGTACGAACCCCTTCGCGCCGTTAATTCCAGCGCACCTCGCAAATAAACGCCGACGAGTGCAGCGGCGCTTCCTCGGCGAGGCACGGGGAAGTATGACGCCGCGAGTGTACACCCGCCTGGCCGTGCTCGGGGTGCACTTAGCCTGCGCGAAGTTATTTACATCCCCGCGGAATAATAAAGTCCGTCGCCGATTGGCCGGGTGTTGCGCAGGGGCGGCGCGCTGCGCCTGAGTTGATACTCACGTCCCGCATAAGTCTGCGGTATTCCGTTGGTGTAGACACCCGGGTCCGAGCCTGCCGGCTGGCCGTTCGGCGTCTGTGCAGCCATGTTAAAATTCGGCATCGTCGGCGACGGTAACGACGGTATCGCCCCGTTCACCGGTTGCCCTGTGCCGGTACCTACGAGTAAACCTGATCAGTACACACCGATTACCCTTCTGCTCTCTCAACACCGACCTCGATCGTCCGCTGCGCGGTGCGCGGGGCATCGGATCGCCGTATGCGGTTTCCGTTTCTTTACCGCTTCTCCCTCCGTTCTCAATTATATGCATATAATTAGCAGATCCCGCATGCCCCGCGCAGCGTTTGAAGAGTCGGACGAACTACGAACTGTCGGGTTGTTGATTCGCTAAACCGGAACGTCGTTAATATATCGTCAAGTTGTCAATTCGCTCGCAAAAGGCTGCGCATTTTTAACCGGTCGCATATTTCCTCCTCTCTTCCTCCCCGCCGTTCGTTTCACGCAACTTTTACCATAATACTAGAACACGCACAGCTCTGCTGCGACTTGTTTTCGATATGCGACAAAGTTTGCGCAAAAAGGTCGCGTTCGCCGATAATAGTTTGTCTCCCGTCTGCGGTGATGATGTGATTCGGATCAGCGATCAAAGCCCCGGCGTTGCGTTAATAACGCATTTGATCGTACCGGTGATCAACGTTTGGTATCGCGATATTACTCGGCGCTTGTAATGAGATATAACTATGTTTGGGTAATATCTGTTATTTCTATCGAGTTAGCATGCGAGATTACGGTATATATACAAGAGCGCACGATAATATTAATAATAGGGCACGTGATAATATTATGATTTCTATTTATAATTTAATTAAACTCAATCTCTTAAATTTCGTTAATGTTAATGTATAATTCTCCATTATCTCCCGTTTGATGCATGATAAATTCAGAAGCTCCGCAGAGAAACATCGCAATTTGCTGCCGGATAAAACTCGGCTCCGGCACTTTAATACGTCCGAATCGGGTCTACGGCTGTGCGAAAGGTGGAAGATCAGGACGGAGAAGAATCTCAATGCCTCGATAACATCCGGATTACACCGCATCCTCGCTCGTAGCCGGCTCCGTGCATCGGGGATATGATACGATACGTCGTAAACTTAAACTCCTGCGACTGCACGATATGCGTTCCGACATTGTCGATTTACGTAGGCGAGCAGTCAAATGGATCGCATATGGGGTGAAATTTTTACAAGCGAGCACCGATTTCGCTTCAAAATATATCACGTGTGCGATGAAGGCTCCTCGTTAAATTTCGCGTTATATAAACTCCATAAAACGTGACAGTGTGCAATTTTGAGAAACTGTTTCTAAAAAGATTTAACCCAAGTATTTATTCTCGACTTAATTCCGTCTCGACTTTTATATCATCGACGAATCATTAGATTCGTCTGAAATGCGGGCAATCGCTAGAACTATAAAACCACAGAACGATTCCTCGTTACACAGATCTAACTGCAAATGCCACCCTGTACACACAGTTTGCGTTTGCGGCGTCGTTTCGTCGGAAATAAAAGCGCGCTGCTTCGGTAATCTTCAGAGGAAAGCGGATGGACGCGGCGGGGCGAGCCGCGACGGGGAGGGGATTCAACGGAGAAATAAAATATTATTTCCCTATCAAATGGTATTACCTTCCGCTCGACGAGACTCGACGTATAACGGAGCCGATTTCCGCGCTTACTTTACTTTCCTACGGCGCTTCGGCCTCTCTCTGCGCCCCCTTGCATCGCCACGCCGCGAAGGCGTAAGTGAGAAGGATGAAAAGAGAGGTGTGAGCGAGGCAGGGCGAGGAAGAGGCGTTTCTTTGGCTTTTCCTCTTCCCTCGGCAACGAGCTTTCGATAAAGTTTCGCGGTACCGGCAATATCTCTCGCTTGAGTCACGTTCGATGAAAATGTTGTATTGATTTACGAGTCGGTTATAAGGCAACCGACTGTACGCCTCGTCTGTCGCGAGAATCCAGGCAAACTATACGAAGCGCAGAGAGCCGAGAGGAATGGCGATCGAACGGGAGAAATGTTTTATCTGAAATCGGACGCTATCAGGCTGATGGTGGATAATTCGTGCGCCCTCGAGTGTGCTCCCTTATTTTCGTGAAGCGCGAGTTTTATCGGACTGATGCTGTTAGTTGATTAACGGGATTGATTAACTCGGATTGAAAAAATACATTTTGCGCAGCCTTCGCGAATGATTGTTAATACTAACACACCGTGTACCGATAGACGTTCTTCGTCAATATTAACAGAGTGCATTATATTTTCATCGCAGCTCAATATTTTGAATTAACTGCACAACGGATAAATTACAAATATAACCACTTCTCGGTTGAAAAAAGAATATTGTAATATCTACATGTAAAAAAATTCTAAATAATGAAAGCATGTATGTGTGTGAATATTCGCAAGAGAGGTATACAGTTTGTTCAACTAATTCAAATCTCATTTTTACACAAATATCGGGAAAATGAAAAAGAACAAGTGATTTCTTGCTAATATCCACATTCCACAGCGTATCTAATATTATTCTAATTTTATTAGCCAGCTGTAAACTTACCGGAAGTTGGCGGAACTACCGGATTTGGCATGCCATTCAATGCATGAGGCAATTGTCCTGCTGCCAATGCGGTCATTGGATTGATGTACGTTCCTTGTGCAGTCGCGGCTGCCATAAGCGCCGCTTGCTGCTACAATAAGAAAAGTTCTTTCGTCCAAAAGAACGTTCTTTCTTGCGTTGTATTTCTTTCTCAATAAAAAATGGTTCCAAAACAAAGAAAAAAAAAAACAACATTATGGTTTGCAAAAATATCTATATAATGAAATGTTGAAAAATCCTTAATAATAAAAAAATCCTTAATAATATTAAAATCTCTGAAATAAAATATAGAATACATTAAAATTGAGTAATATTTTAGAAATATGTTTTCCGAATTAATTTCAAATTCTTTAGCGAAAATATTGAAAAGCTCTCATTTGTCGCAAGTTCTTAATGTTCAATATTTTTGCAATTAAACTTTAAATTCAAATTTTGCTAGAATTAATTTAGAATTAAATGAGAAATGACATTTTATAAATTTCTAAAGGTAAATTTATATAGGTTAAAATTTTAAACGCCTGTAATTGCGGATTAATACTTTGTTGCTTTCGAAATATACTGTATAATGTTAAAAATGAAGTAATTTTTAAAGCAATATTTCTCTTTTAGCAAGCTGGCACAATGCTGGGATAAATTATACCGCGAAAGGTGATTGCGGCGGACCTCTTTGCATGCCGGGCTTAACGCGACGGCATCGAGTTTCGGCCGATCGTTTCCGAGAGTAACGAGGGACGAACCATCGCAGATTGTGAGTCGCGGTAACGAGGACAACAAGGCGGTAATGCGGTAACGCGAGAGCCATTAACGGTAACATGACCCACCTGAGCGTAAGCGCTGTAAGCGCCGAACTGATTGAAGACGAAGGGGTTAAGGAGGCTCATGTTCCCGGCCATTTGCTGCATGCGTCTTAGTTGCCTCTCTTTATCAGTGTCTGCGAATTTCACCACTATGCTGGATGACGCACCCTGCAACAGATAACGCAGATTCTTCATGTCGTTTTCATAACACCAGGATTTTTATGACACGGGAATTTTTTTGTTGCAACTTTACGATGTGCGAGGGTACATTTTTACGATCACGGCAACGAGCTATTATTTAGCACGTGTTATAACCTTCGTGCGAAACAAGCATTTTAATCAAGATTTTATAACCGAAGGAATAATTGAGCATTTCTACATTTGCTACGATAGCGTTTGATTATTTAAAAAAACATAAAAAGCAAAAATAATAAATTTATTAAAACTGTAGAGTCACTAGAATTTTGAAACTAAATGGAGTCCTTTTATTTCATCGCTATTAACAATATTTATAACTAAAATTACAATTAAATTTAAAATTGTAATCGTAATTCTCTAGAAATATTTAATACGAAAAATAACATTAAATACAGCATGTGTTAAATGGATTCGGCGATTATGGTGGACGATGTAAACTATGATACTCGCGAAAGAGCGAAATCTGCGACGGAAAAGTGATTCACAATCCTTTTGCATAAAAAAGGAGCTCTCCTTTTTCGAGATGCTCGCGAGGATATGTAAGGCGATGACGTTCTCACGACGTCTAAAATATAAATGGAAAGGCAACAGGTGGTCAGTGGCCATTGTGGCTGCGGAGAAAAGCTCGGCTTTCGGGCTGCCGGTGATACATTATATTCACGTCATCAATGCAAATGCCGGCTGGGCGTTTCTGAGTTTATATAACGGTTGTAATGTTACAACTTGCGTAACGAGACTTTTGGCTTCGGTCACGCGACTTCGCATGGCGCACCTCGCCATGCTTTTCTCGCGTGCACCTCTTTTTTTCTCCTCTTTCTTTTTTATACAATTCATTTGCTTGTTTTCAACGTCTTTTCTGCAGAAAGTTGTAAAATGTGATCACGAAATAAATCAGAACGTGTTGAGCAAAGTCTGGAGAAAGATATTCATATTCTTTATGATTTTAATCAGTTATAACTTTTATTGATGTAATATTTATTCTAATCGATTTCGTTCTATTCATATATTGACACTAAATCGATATTATCATGATAGACGATTCTTCCTTCTGCACGCGAAGGTCTTGTGCCGCAGAAATTATTGCACGATGAAAAATAAATATTATATATTTGTATATTAAAAGTGTGCTAAATCAACGAGAATGCATTTATTTTTTAAAAATCCTTGACTTATTTATGTAAAAACTTGATAATTAATCGCTCTTAAATTTATAATAGTATTACGTTATAATAGTAGCACGTTAATTGAATGAAATTGTTCAATAAAAGTATTAAAATAATAAATATGTAGATAAAGATAATATTTCAATTTACTAATTAAGAGCATTAAATATATTAAATTGAGATCTTTGAAAAAGATTTTTTTAAATTTAATCGGATAATGGAAAGGAAAGAAAAGGGAGAAATGTTCGCATATAAAATCCTCAAAATCGCAGAGAGATAATTTTAGGATTCTACAGAAGATAAAAATCGCACGGACAATAAGATCAAGAAACCGTGTCGAAAAGTACGATCCGCGGCGCGATTGTTATGCATTGATGACAACTGGGGCGTATATCGATAATCGGTCGACCGTCTTCTCTCCCGCGGGGATTCGCCACAAAAGGCTCGGGGGTCGTTATTCATCAGCGAGGCGCGTATACGCCGGCTGGCGCGATTGCTTGTAATTTAACGACGAGGACATAGTCAGAATCGGACCGGTAACGCGATATATCCGCTCGACAGATTTCCACGGAACGTCACCTTGTGATACATCGCGCGTTCCGTTCCCACCAGATCGATCGAGACATCGCCTCGGTGGCTTCAAAGGCAACCTCGATGAAGCATTTTCAGCGTGTGCGCGCAGCCCCGGCATCCGTTCCGACACCCTCGCGCGATAATGCATATGCTATGCGTCGAGGTCTGTACGCGTTAAATGCTCGCCCCCTGAAATGAAAGAGGGGGCGATTTTACGCGACGCCAATCGACGCTGTCAGAAACACTCGCTCGTGTCGTCGCGCCAAATTTTGCTTTTATTATTTTTGCTGTTTTTTTTCTTTTTTTTTATTTTCCACGTCGTTTTCGCGACTCGAATGTTCGGACGAGTGTTCATCGAATGGGGTGTACGCGCGGCAAACAAAATCACGCAGAAGCGAGTAGTTTTTGTACTTTTTTTTTCTGCAAACTACGTGAGCTTTGCTTTTGAACACGTAATGCAAACGAATCGTCGCGTCGCGTATTTTCCAAAGAGGGAAAATAACTTGCGCTAATTTCGCGGAGATGTTAAGCGAGCGAGAGTGAACACAGTGAGAGAGCAAAGCCGCGCTTTTCACAATTCAAAATGCACGTACCTTGAAACTTGAGCGCAGCGTTATAACGAGCTTTAGTCGATAATTCGCATTGCAAGGTCGGAGACTTGGAAGGTTACTGCGTAATATCCCACGCGGGATCGCGGTTAAAAATCCCCGATTCCCTTTGACTTCTCATCCGCGGTTTCACCTTCGGCAACACGTGCGGCGGACACATCGCTGCATTCGGTATTTTCAAGCGCTGAAAGGCTCGTACTACGCAGGCATCTCGATTATTAAAAGTTTCGCTTGCGGTCGAAGCTCGAACGGGGTCAAACGCGCGTATAACCGCAAGCGTCGCGAGAAAATCAACGGCTAGCTGCAGTTTACAAAGGCATAAAAGTTACGCGAGTGGATGTAACTTTTCGCGTTACAGCAACTACAACTAATATCGGAAGCTTTGCGATACTTTTCCCCTTTCGCCTTTCAGCTATATGCGTTTGAGTTACTCTTTAAAGCTTTAGGAACAAAATTGTGAAACATTACTTTTGCGTTCTCTAAACATCATTTGCTTTCAATGTCTGATTAATTTAAAATTTATTCCCTGAAACACTTTTAAGCACAAACAACGATATCGCAAATTAATTATTTTAATCGGAAAAAAATATTCAATAATATCACACAATTTTTCCATGCGATATTCACTTCAGTTTTCCTTCAATTCCACGGTCTAAACAGCCAGGGGAGTTTCAAATTTAAATTCAACATATTTCGTCAGAACAAATCCACTTAAACGTTTGCTATTTCGCATATTTGAGGTCTGTATATTTTCCATGCAGGTCAAAACACTTTTGGCAAATTAATGAGTAGACGGCAATTACGAGAATTTTTTTGAGTGTACGATAAATATCTGAGCCAGGCACGATACTTCAAGTTCACTGAATACACTGCACGCTCTAAATATTAACGAGTTCGAGGTCAGTGCTGACGCAATAAAAAAATAATTCGGAGCGTCGAATTTGCGAGTGAACCGCCGCGATGCGTGTCAATTCACGTGTGCGTTCCGCTCTTTCGCGCGAGAAAAACTCGTCGAGCTGCGCCGGGTTTACGCGCGCGGTGAACGGCATCGACGCGTGCACCTCGGGAAGATAATTTGTCTCGCGTCGACAGTCTCGAGCCCCGAGGTCTTGTGCGCCACGCAGGTGTAACGTAGGTGTCCGTAAGGTGTATGTGACATTTACAACGAGCACATATGTACGCCGGCGCACACGTGTGCGGCATGGTTGAGAGACTAGGGCTGGGGACGAGGCGCAGCGGGACGCAGGTCGGGGTTGCGAGGGGGCTCGGCGAGGTCGTATCGGAGCCAGTGAAGCTGAAGCCTCATTATTGGGGGATTACGGTTCATTAATTCCGATCCAACGTTCTGAACTGCACGCGAAAAGGAAAAGCCGTCCTCCCGAGAGCCGTGGTATCATGCGGAGAACGTTTGAAGCCGCCGTCGCCGCTCCCCCTTGCTCGTTATGTCTGTCCTACGTGTCGCCCCCGCGTTAAGGTTGCCCCTTTAAAAATGTCGATATTAAAGCACGCGCTCTTTTTTCCCCCCCCCCCCCCCTCCCATTATGATTTCATGAGCCGACGACCGTGGGTCGCGTGTTGCGTTTGATGTTTCATCCGCGTCGTATGTCGTTGTCTCGTTGAATTTGAGCTTGTCGGAGACTCGTCCGATGTTTTTTTATATCCGCACTCATCGACGTCTCGTCGTTTTCCCATTGGCCGAATACAGCATCGATCAAGAGCACTAAAGACAAACGTTGGCGCATCCTCCTTCACTACAAGTATTTGGAACAACGTCTCAGCGTCGGAGCTTATGTTAGTTCAGGGGGCCACAATATTGGGCAGACCTTGCCAACGGAATGAAGCAATTACCTGCTGATTGGAGGCTCTCCTGTTAGCCGCACCATCACACTTGCCAATCCGCTAGACGGTAATTTCAATAGATACAACTGGAACCGCAAGATCGGCCGGAACGCCGATTGCCCTTCGTCCGTCTGACTGTCTGTCGGACCGTAATACAAGAGCGAGCGGTCCGATTCGTCGATGTGTTTCAAATTACAAACCGCTTTCTCGCTTTTAAATGTCAATAGGAAAATAGCTAATTGGAAAACCGTACAGCAATATCAAATTAATAACGCTCAAAGATTTCGAGTACGCTTCCGAAAGATCAAACGGTAGCGTAAAAAAGGAAGACAAACAAAGCAATTCTCGGAACAAAAATTGTAGCTATTCACACAAAAAGCACATATTGCGCGTAAAATAATACATTTCACAAGTATTATGCGCGTTACAATAAATTATAATATTACTTTTAATTGTTGCTATTGCGCCTCTGTGTATTTTTATTTAGAAATTAATGCTAAAGTGTATGTATTTTCGCTGCGTTTCCTGCGAGAGGATAGAATAAACATACATCTGCCTCTATCAAGTCTCCATTTAGACTTGTATTATTAGTTATCATAATGAAGACGTAGAACAAACGAGGATCGTAGTCGAAATCCGCTGTGAACCGGCGCGCCTGCTCTCTCTTGAATGTACACGGAAATCAATTATTAACGTTAACATCGCGTCGCTTTGTTGACGGGATGTCTCTATCACAAACGCGCCGCACTCCGTGCCGGATACGTTCGTATCGATTCGACGATACCAC